CCTTACTCAACTTATAGAATCTAACATATTGAAGAATCCGCATAATATCATGGCATCGACGTATTACGAACTTATACAAGTGAGCTCTATAGCTAACTACCGGCACATAGTTCTGCTCCACATATGGGACTGAAATTTGTTGGAACTATACAAGATCAACAATAAGGGAAAAATAAATGAAATAATTCATAGCCAGTAAGTTTCCATCACTAAGAAATTTTAAGCATGTGTTTAGCCGTGACGGATGTATGTAGGGGCTTTTTTCCTAATTCTCTCTCTATATATATATATAAAATAAGTTGTGCCACCCTAAAAAATTTGACCTTGATTTATATATTTGTGAGTTCTTTGGTTTTAAATTCGTGTTTCAAAATTTAAATTGTTTGTAATTGGCCTACAATTGATCTCTAATTTTCAAAGATTAATGATTGACTTGTTTCAATTGAATTTTAGATGTATTATTACACTTACTTCTTGAATTCTTATTTAATAACATTGCAATTTTGATAAAAAATATAAAAATATGCAAAGGTCAATTTTTTAAGATCGATGAGAAACAGCTTGAGACAAATTCATTGTTCAAATTGACTCTAAATTGGAAATATAATTTATTAAATTGAGACCATTTGTTCAGCTTGAGACCATTTGTTAAAAAGTATTATTATTTGGTAATGACCTTTTTCATTTGGATTTAGAATTTTTTTTGACGTTTCGCTTTTATGAAATCTTTTTATGGACAGTTTGGATTTTAATTCAATGTAATTTGTGATTTACAACATTTTATTAACATACATAAAATTAGAGTCATCTTTGTAGAAGTCTAAAATCATTAATCGCTTCATGTTATAAAGTCGGCCCTAGTTAAAGAGCCCACATTAAAACTAATTTATGGCTCCGGCCCTGGTGTTTAGTGAAGGGATTGTTGTTTCTGATTCTTAAATGATATTAGTTTGGTCATCCTCAGAACATAGAAAAGTTAGTTTTTTTGGAAATTATAGGTTGTTGACCTTTATAACCAGCCCCTAGATAACTAATGATCATTGAAGACATAAAATTATAGCCAATAGATTAGCTAATAAACTATAAAGACACAAAAAAAAGTAGTTAATGGAACTACTATACGTCGTTAGAAATTGCACAAGCACCTAAGAAACCTATTCTTGGTAAGCCTCAAATGCTGCAATGGAGATGATGATGTTGAAGATAGAAATATATCCTAATATTTCTGGGATATTATGTTACTGATATTCAATCAATTAGCCAGATTTAGTGGCGTAATTTGATTTCTGATTNTTAAAACTAATTTATGGCTCCGGCCCTGGTGTTTAGTGAAGGGATTGTTGTTTCTGATTCTTAAATGATATTAATTTGGTCATCCTCAGAACATAGAAAAGTTAGTTTTTTTGGAAATTATAGGTTGTTGGCCTTTATAACCAGCCCCTAGATAACTAATGATCATTGAAGACATAAAATTATAGCCAATAGATTAGCTAATAAACTATAAAGACACAAAAAAAAGTAGTTAATGGAACTACTATACGTCGTTAGAAATTGCACAAGCACCTAAGAAACCTATTCTTGGTAAGCCTCAAATGCTGCAATGGAGATGATGATGTTGAAGATAGAAATATATCCTAATATTTCTGGGATATTATGTTACTGATATTCAATCAATTAGCCAGATTTAGTGGCGTAATTTGATTTCTGATTTATGTCAATCCCTAAGATTAAGGGACATGATTGTGTTTGTCACCCTATATATATGGGTGTATCGCTTGTGCATTTATCATCAAGAATAATAAAGATGTAGCCCTTTATGGGTTTTGTGTGTGGACGAAGGTCTAAGGACCGAGCCACATTATTCCTTGGTGTTCGTTCTTGATCACTTTTCTTTTACGTTAAATTTTAACATGGTATCAGAACAATCGATCTGTTACTTTCAAGGCTCATCGTGTTTATGCCATTGTTCTAGATCCGGTATTATTTTTTATCTTGAAGCATTTTTGCTTCCGACAATTTCTGCCAGTAATGTCTTTGGTTTTGAACAGAAATGCTCCTGCCTTTGGTACTTTCATCATATTCTCTGTCAGTGCTATAGCATGAATGGTGGATCCTTTTTTTCCTCCAATTATAAAAAATTTCCCACCTTGCTAGACAAATGGGTTTTTGTATCCCACATCTGGCTCGAGAAACCCAACAATCTNGACTTCTATGAGATCCACTTACAGTATCAGGATTAGGTTGCTTGCAGATTCTAGAAACAACTGGTGAGCAAGGCAGAACAGGTTCATCAACATAGAAGGGCTCTGACAAATTATACAGAAAGTAAGTCAAGCTTCTGAAAAATATGACCTTTGAGTCCCAAAAGGGATCATATTATTAAGAATAAAACCCCACATCACCAAATAAGAGCAAGCATACCCCTTACAAGAAGATAAGCATGGAAAAGAAAAGAAAAGATACTACATCACAAAGATAAAGAAGTAGCCTCTATCATATTAGCAGTAGCTTGGTCTAGTTGGCAGCATAAATCACATAGTTATAAAGCTCAAGAAACACAACAAATCAGATGAAGATGCCAAGAAGGGAAAAAATGGCCCTACAATTCATTTCCCAGAAGCAAAAAATCCCAAATAGTTTAGTGTTTTTTGTAAAAAAAAANAAAAAAGAAGGCACTTCTATGAGATCCACTTACAGTATCAGGATTAGGTTGCTTGCAGATTCTAGAAACAACTGGTGGGCAAGGCAGAACAGGTTCATCAACATAGAAGGGCTCTGACAAATTATACAGAAAGTAAGTCAAGCTTCTGAAAAATATGACCTTTGAGTCCCAAAAGGGATCATATTATTAAGAATAAAACCCCACATCACCAAATAAGAGCAAGCATACCCCTTACAAGAAGATAAGCATGGAAAAGAAAAGAAAAGATACTACATCACAAAGATAAAGAAGTAGCCTCTATCATATTAGCAGTAGCTTGGTCTAGTTGGCAGCATAAATCACATAGTTATAAAGCTCAAGAAACACAACAAATCAGATGAAGATGCCAAGAAGGGAAAAAATGGCCCTACAATTCATTTCCCAGAAGCAAAAAATCCCAAATAGTTTAGTGTTTTTTGTAAAAAAAAATAGAACAAAATGTTCTGTGGAAACCAGGTCAATATCAATTTCCAGAAACTATATAACATGGAAACTTTGCAAGACTTCATATGAAGTTGGAAAGAGAATCAAAAATTTTCGTCTTTTATGTGTTCACTGCTCAATACTCAGATACACTACTTCATTCAAACAAAAATTGTAACTACAAACAGAATATATGGCTATCAGTGGAATTGTGGAATCATTTGAAGAATTGGTTCCTAGAATTTCATTACAAGAAGTTTCTATCGGTGCTGCTCCAACTCCATTAAAATCCCTGAACAGATAAAAAACTTTCCATAAATTTGCCATATGTTCAGATATTAGAATTATCGATTTATTTCACTTATCTCAAATCCCAAATATTTAAAAACAATTTTCAGAAATTCATTTTAAGCTTCAAACTTAGGAAGATAAATCCCCAGTTTCCGGTACAACTTATACTTCTTGAAGAAAAACCTTAAACCCAGATCCCATATCACCCCAGGCCCTTTTACTCATTTTAGTGGGAATTGGCATAATAGTGGTAGACCCATAAAGTCAACTCTCACAAAACAATGACAATGACAACAAAAGAGACAACAGTAGAAAGTCCATGACACAATTATCTTTTTCTCCTGTTAGTTTTTCCATAACTACACATCTTACAATCCCTTCAAAATACAAAGCATGAATCCTCTATGATATATAGATAACAACTAACTGAGCTGGAAATTTGCAAACACAAAGTTTTCAATAACCGACTCCACATGTTTGATGTTCTTGATAGTATAACCTCCATCTGTCATTCCATATATAGCCCTCCCTGTGAATTGTCCACTTCCTTTTGCAAGCAAATGTGCCATGAAATGTCAAAATCTAAGCCCTCATGCAAAAAATGGTTAAAATATGAAATGAACTCCATATAATGGTCAAGATATCACACACTTCATGCTATATCAGCCAATTACAATTAAAAAAAGCAAGGCGATAAATAACTATTCAAGACCAAAAAAGTGAAGAACATAAAATTATAAAGTTAATGTCCTAAGAAGCACGGACACACTGACACAAACTTTTTCAAAAAAGTAGAACACGGACACGTTGTGGGACATGTTAAATACTATGTATTTATTTAGTTATATATATCTGTGTGTGTGTGTATTTTGATAATAATCAATCAATTCATCATTTCTTTAATTCGAACAACCAACATCATGATATTACCAAATAAAAAATTCAATACAACATATACCGACACACACTCATCATAAATTTTCATGACCCAACAATCAATGATTACTACAATTTTCATTTTCAAAAATATCCCAAATTGTAACCCTAATTTTTATCAAATTTCAAAGAGCCCAAATTTCATAATCTATTTGTCATTACATTTCTTTCATAGAGAAAGTTTATTCCATTTTTATATAATTTTGTAGTTACTTCCCAAATTATGTTATATCCATGTCCTATGTTCATGTAATGATTCTAGCTCTTTCCATGCATTTGACCCATGTTTCTTCAAAATACAAATATAACTTCCTTAATTATAAAGTTGTTAGACAAATTTTCAAAAATTTGAAAAAAAATCTCAAAACATGTCCTTGAGCGTGTCTCCAACTTGTCGACCACGTGTCCCCAATGTGTCTTGAAAAACATTTAATAATAAAAATAATATGACACTCATTTTAGCGTGTCCAAAACATATCCATGTCCCAGACATATCTGACACCGACACTCTGACCAAGATGAAGTGTCCGTGCTTCCTACTTAATGTCAGGCACTCAATCTGATAGGGTAAGGCCAATGAAGCTCCATACAATGGCCCACATAACACAAGCTTATGGGTAAAAGAAAAAACACAATTTGAGGGTGTCCACTAACCATTGACTGGATTCCTACTTGAAGACTCAAATGCACCAGGGGGAAGTGGCTGAAATTCTACACCAAGTAATGGACCGCCCTCCCTATAATGCCTCCCCAGTTGCCTCTTAACAGCTGTAATAGCAGCATTTTCAACCTGACCCTTCACCTTTAAATATCCTGATGGCCTGGTCCTGGATTTTACATCCTTCACATCTCTTGGCACAATGTTTCTATTCTGTGGTAAGTGTCTCAAAGTTCGCGTCTCAAAAGTATCCTCATTTTGAGGGTAAAACCCACCTCGTAGAGGAGAGCTACTTCCTGAAGATGTATCATCCATGCCACTATAGTTTCCAGTATGGTGACTCCTGTGCTCGTATGTGAGGTCTGCAGATGGAATATCATGGCTAGTAAATCTTCTACTTTCAACTTCCCTTTGGTCAAAGATTCTGTACTCCCCTTGTTTGGTGCTGCCACATGAATCCTGCCTAAGACCACTTCCACGATCCTGTATAACACTGCTTGAACGATCTTGTCTTCCATTTGTATTAGCTTCACCAAATAATCTCTTGTCTTTCAACCTTCTGTGGCAAAACCATCCAGAAATTTGCTTTTCTGTCAATCCTATTGACTCCGCAAGCTGACATTTCTCATCCTCTGTAGGATATTTGTGTTCTGGTGAGAAGTTAAAATTGTTTGTTACGCTGGTCTCTGATAAAATGTATTTTGGCTGTTCGCCGTAAGACAAGAGACGACAAAAAGATTATTTTTACCATTATAAAAATTCTCCAAAGCCTCAACCTGAGAAGGCGTCTTGACAATTCTTTTATGTTTCTTCTCTGACAGAACTTTACTGTCGTCAGTGTGCACTTCACATGATTCTATAATATCAAAAGCAGTAAACAAATGACAATTAGCCAAAAAACTGGTAGCTATAATTAGCATCAGTATGCATATACTGGCATATGCATGTTGTCTCACCAGCTGCTAGACCTAATTGATAGCAATCCATTGAAATCAAACATGTAAGCAATCTATGTTGTGAGTACAGATTATAAATTTCAGGTGCAGGTGTATGCATGTATGTAAGCATTGGAATCATGCCATTCAAAACAGTCCTTAAACTTGCATTCAATTGAGCCTTGACCAACTCTTGACATTCAAGAGATGTTTAAACACGGAAAAACATCCTATATTATAAGGTAGAATTGGCTCGACAACACCTTACTTCAATACACAAACCAGTTAGACAAGTTGCAAATTCAAATTTTCACACGACAATATCATCTTTCATCTAACAAATTATAGGCAACATGTTTTCTTATGGCCTCGAATCAAGATGTTAACTGACGTTCATCTTGTTTCTGTAGCACCATCAATTTGATCCAAGAAGCATATTCAAAGATCCTTCCATCACTTTCCCGTGGTGACTCCCAAAAACTGAACAATAGAAAGTTTTCACAGCAATTTACCTTGGGACAAAAAGCCTACAAAATCCATTCCAAAATAGAACTACTACTGACTAGGAAAATCTAACACAACAGAACCCAAGATTGAGCAAAGTGCCACAAGACTTCTTCAAAGTACGCTTTTCAATAGTTGGCAAGAATCAAGCCCTGACAATTCAGTTGGTAAACTGTAAACCCATCAGCTCAAAAGAATTAAGACCTTGAAATGAATGTGTAGCTCTACCAAGTGTTTGTCTTTAGGAAAACTGCAACTGACTAGAGTAATAGCACGATAGGTAAAAGTACAACTGAAATGGAGACCAAAAACCTAATTTAACCAGCATCTCCTAAATCCTAGATTTGTGCCAACTCATCCGTCAGGAGGATTAATGGACCAATGTCACCATAAAATGAACTATTTAGCAGCAAATGCCTAGGGAGAAGGAAGGAAATAATTTCTCCTAATTCCCATCATCAAAAGACAGTTTTAAACATACCAACAATTCCATTCATTATAAATACACCAGACAATGGTCAAAATACCCGTTTGTCAGAACATATGGCCTTCTTCCATCTTACATAACCTCAAATGAGGTCTCATGCAAGGGATGAGAAAATTACCCATTGCAAACAACCAAAATGGGACGTTAAATAAACAGGACACTAGAAGTTTCGGAATTCCTTCTGCATAAAACACAAAAAACAGCCTCAAGACTTTGGAAGCTTTATTCAACTTAGGCATATAGCCGTTGACAACTTTTCTCTTCAACTGTAGAATGAAACTTCACAGTCTTACGATTTGGGGATTTGACAGTAACATCACCATGTAAGAATTTTACAGACACAGATGTACTCCATGAAAAATTCACAACCCTGAATTGATCATTTAAGTGCCAAAATACTCAAATCACCATGACTAACAAATAGATAAAATAACATGGACCCATAGGCAGATAAGCCTTTGTCCTTCAAACAGTCAAATGATTTAGTCCCATTACATTAATCCTGTAAATTTACACGAATCTGTCCCTCAAATTAATCATGCAAGATACCCACATCAATTTCCTTTACGTTTCATTTCAAAATAAAAAAAAAATTAATAGCAATAAAAAGCAACAAACCAAACAAAATGCAATTCCGAAACATATCAGAAAGTACAGCATAGACATCAATCTTCCAACAACGCACAAACAATCCTCAAATGAATCGACCCAAACAAAAACTGCAACCTCAATACAAAACTAAAAAAACAATCCCCTTAGTTCAGGATTCTGGGATTTTTTTTCTGGGCATGCAAAAAAAATTATAAACACCTACAATCCACTTCTGACAGAACAAAAGGATATGTACCTCCCATGGTTGACAAATTTCTGGGTTTTTTCTCTCACTTCTTCTTCCTTATTGATTCAACATTTGAAACCCACAAGGCGGAGAGGGCAAGAGTAAAGAAAGACCTGTGCAGAGAATCTGAAAATGCATGAGGTTTAAGTTTACATTCATCTGAATTTACAAACCATTAAGAGAGAGAGTGTATGTGTGTATTTTGGGGGTACGTTTAATGCCAAATTGAAGAAGATTCTGTTTCGGTTACGCCAATTTGTTTTCAATGTTATACTTTTCCATTGCGTTGTCTATCACTTACTCGTTACCCGTGGCAGTTTAAATGCATGGATTGGAAATAAGGTGTTTAGATTTGTGAGTTTGNTTTTCAATGTTATACTTTTCCATTGCGTTGTCTATCACTTACTCGTAACCCGTGGCAGTTTAAATGCATGGATTGGAAATAAGGTGTTTAGATTTGTGAGTTTGAGATTGAGTTTGAATTTATTTTTTAAAATTAGTTTAAAAAATTATTTAATTTGACTATTAAATCCAAGCCGATATATAAACGAAACAAATTTTATAAACTTGAGCCGAGGCTTTTTAGGCTCAACTCGTTTCACACACAAATAGAATTCGAGTCGAATCTTATTTGAGCCAAATTAAAATAGATCGTCTTATCTAACACCCTTAATTGGAAAACCTTTCTCCAATTTACTTAATAATAAAAAAATAACAATCATAATTTTTTTTTTTTTGTCATGCTAAGAGGGGGACGGATGGTTAAGGAGTTAAGAGAAAAACAACAAGATTCAAATTCGTGATCTTAAGTCTCAAATAATAATCTTATTTTAAAGTTATAAATTTAAACTATAAAAATTTAGTATCGTCATATCAAATTCTCCCTCGTTGTCCATAAAGAAATAGTTTTTATATAGTTCTATTCTCTTATCCCTCTATGGTTATTACTAGCTTTCGTCTCTAAATAAAATATATTTGAGTTGTATTTAATTTTTTTGTTGAATTTTTTTGGGTGGGGGTAATTTAAACTAAATTATGGTTGTGGGCCTGGAGAGAGGTGGAATGAGGGTGGGGGTGGGGAGAAGAAGGGCTGAGGGTGCGAGGCCCGAGAGCGAGAGATAGAGATGTTTAAGGGTGTCAACTCTGATCCGTTAACAAAACCCAACATAAATAATTATAAAATTAACATAACTATTAAATATGTATAATAAATAATTTACACTAATGTTTAATACTCAGCATATTAAATAAATTTTTTTTGTAAGTTTTAACACAAACACGATACGAATAACACGACATACACGTCAGACGAACATGCCACAATTGACACTCATCCTCTGTGAATTTTGTAGCCCCCAAAGTCCACCCCAAGCTTGCTCAAGCAGCCCATAAGAGGCACATTCAAAAGTCTGTTTTTAGTTATCAGAGGCACATTCAAAGGTCTTAACATTGCCCATGAGAGGATAGTATATTATTAATAACAAAATCTAGTACAACAACTGCTCAAGTAAGCCAATGATTTTCGACAATGGGGAAAAGAGAGAAAAAAAGAATAAAAGGTTAGCCAAAGATTGAGCTTTAAGGTATCCAGTTCACAAAGTGACCAACTGTATTTTGGTAACCAAGTTGCAATGGTTTCTCTATCTTTGTATCGCCTCACTCCTCTTTCTTGCTGGACTTGTCATCAACTTCTTGAGAGCTAGTAGTTTTTGATTCATCAAACTCCAACAACTGCACAAAATAATGAAAGAAGTCAACAGTGTAGTTCAACTATGAAAAGCCCCAACATATCAAGCGACGACAATGGGGCCATCTATAAACTACCAATCTACCATCATAATGTAGAGTTCATATAACACAACCATCTACATTCTCTTTGTTTGGAGACGGAAAAAAAAAATCAGTGAATAGTTCAAAAGAGAGTAATTGTTATTCCACACTGATGACTTCAAGTTAACCACTGATCTGAACTGTTGATCTCTTATGGCCATGTTGAATGTAAGTTTTCCATACAATAGTTCATTAGGAGGTAATAGAGAAACTTAGATCTGATATTCTTAATGCCTTTTTTCTCCTCCCTCTTCATAGAGCTTGTGGGGAAGCAAATTATGACACTAAAAACTCTTTAAATAAGTTCACAATGGAGGCTCACTCAAACAGATTACAAGCAACATGATTCTATAACACTCAGTTGTAGGAACATGAAAAATTCAGCCCTCCAAGATGCAGAAACTTGAAGTAATACTGTACTAAGAACTATGACGATTGACAAATAAAAGTCAAACCAATTTATCAAACATACCGGTTTGACTTCCCCATTCCATATACAATGAGCAGCCAAAAACCCAATTACTGCTGGAACAATATACAGTAGCGCAGGCTGAAAAAAGAACCAAAGAAATAGATTAAGACGGAAGACGAGTAAAAGGACAGGCAAAACTGAAGGATGTGTAGGGATTCATCCACCAACTTTAAGAAAACGAAATATAACAAAATACAACAAACAGATGCTGTAACAATGGCGTCATGAATCACCAACCTGTGCAGCTTGAAACCAGTTCATGACGACGATAGTAAGGACCAGACCAAAGGTGTATCCCAAAAAAGCACTCTTAAAATATTGGCTTTGTTTCCCCCGGGACACATCAAATCTCAATGCCAATGCCACAAAAATGCCTGAAAAAATAAGCAATGAGAATCCATTCAACATGATCGTACACAAGTGTCTCCACCACTCCCCACCCCAAAGAAAATGATATAGAGTAACTAAACTAAAAGCATGAAAAAGAAACTTTTCAACTGGCATAATTTAACACACAATATACGTAAATAGTGAAGTGTATGCTTCTGATAACAACATTGGAACCCTATAAGTCAGTCCTCCAGATTTTTCTTGGCAATGACCAGTCCATAGGAATTGACAAAAAACCAATTAAAGTTCAAGAGGTAGGAAGTTAGGAATTTTACTTGATTCACAATAGCCAAATCAATTTCAGTTTCTATGGTATATTATGCATGGTTCAATATCATGTTATCGGTCATCGACTCGGAGGGCTTTGAGATATGTCGGGTGCGGCATCACGGAATCAGGAATGATATCAAGCAATACGACCTAAAAGAAAAAGTTGAACATGGCAAGAGATTAAGACAATATCGTGTAGTCAAAGAACGATATCGGCCGACTCCATAATGATAACTCGACGACTTCGAGTTGACTCGTAGACGATCATGCGAAACTTGGGCCTAATACATAACGCAAGTCGTGCAAGACTCGAGGCTTCTCCGTAACATGAAACGGCATCAACTCGGAAGATGCTGAGTCAGATACAACTTGGCCAATAGTTTGAACCATGGTCTTTTGACTCTTACCAATGATTGTTTTAGGATAACCTGCTGGTAATTTGATGTATGACTAGTTATGTTCTAAGGGAAAGGTTATCTTAGTCTCCAGATAGTTGTGGTGTGGAATATGGATCTTATTACATCACCTAATTTTAAGATAATTCAATTTGTAGACTTTAGTGGGTTCACAAGTTCAAACCAAGGTTACTTAGATCGTGGGTCGCTTGGGTACATGGTAGGGGTATGGATACGCGGTACGACACTTTCTTAGGTATGCGGTACGATGGGAGTAGACTTAATTGGTACGTTATTTTGGGTCACAATTTATTTTAGGACTCTTATCTACATTGTTTTCACTACTATACAACATTATATGTTACAAAACATCTATGAACACCGAATCAATTACCATTTATCTAATATTTTGCTTGATTTCCTATTATCTAAAATAATATATAATTATAAATTTATATACATATAGTCAATTAATATGTATTTTATATTTGTGTTACATATTCGAATGCGAATTGATTTAGGGTTAGTATTACAATTTGAAATCGTACAATTTAGTAATCTGGATCGTGAATCCACCCCATTTGAGATCGATCTACCTAGATCGTGGCGCGTCATGGGTTTAGTGAATTCTGATAACCATGGTTCATAGAGAGCCATGTTATCTTATTTGAATGGAGAAAAGTTGCAGAGGATTTTCAGAGCTTTTGAAGCCTTTTTCATTTACAGAAAGCAACCCCAACCATATTTGATTTAGGAGTACAAGTAGTTTTTGTAAAGCCATGTAATCTTTATCAACTAAATGGAGAGAAGTTTCAACGTCCCTAAAGCAATGACCCTAAAAGCAACCCTAGTTTCTCTTCTTTTTTTGATCTTTTTCTTATTTTTTATTAATTTATGTGCTTTCACACTTGCAAACAAATCTGAACGCTCACATTCTTTCAACCAGAAAAAGGTCCCCCCTTTCAAAACAACCAATTATTTCCCTCATCAAAAATTCATGTCTAGAATAGAATACATATATAAGAACAAGAACCTTCACAAGCACTGTTCAAAGCCCCAAAACAACCCCGGACATTCTCCCTTTCATGCCTAAATAAGCCCCAAGTTTTCAACCCTCCTCCCCTCTCTTACTTACCAAAAAAAAAAAGTTTTCACCCCTCTGTTATAACTTCTACAAACCCTAAACCCTTGCTATTTATTCCTTACTTCTAGCCACAATACCGTGAAATAAGCCCCAAAATCAGTTTTCCTTCCAATGCTCAAACATTAGTTGTGGTATAATAGTTTGCATGAGGGTGACCCAGACACTGATCCCACATCACAGGAAGAAGCATATACACATTATTTTTAATTGGCACCCACCTTGTTGCTACCACCTCATCAGTCGAGGAATAAAGGACGGGGCATTCCCCCAAACCCCTAATCTCAAAGCCCAACCTGTTACATACAATGCTATTAAATGCACTTTTCCCTCCTCATTCTACACCCACCATCAAGATGAAAACAAAAAGCTAATTCTGACCCCATTTCAAACATCCTAGATCGGGGATCAATTTGTACATGGTATTGGAAGATGCGGGGCGAAGCTAGAAAATTGTTTCAGGGTTGGCACCATATATTTTAACAAACTTAATTTTTTTCTTATAATTGATAAAATAGAATAATGCATTTATATTTAATTATATCCTATTTAATTCTTAAAAGTTCATTAAACTTAAAATACTAAAATTGCTAAGCATAGTAGATACAAATGATAAAAAAAAAAAGGCTAATTATATTTTTTTACCAAACAAAAGCTAATCAAAATATTCAAAATTATTTAGAATTGATTTCGATGAATTTTTATACGTTGAAAGACT